ACAGAGTTGTCCAAAATCTGATACAGTAGGAACTGCCGATGCTGGAGAATCTGAGATAACACAGTGTGGAGCTGGATGAACACAGCAGGCCAGGCAGCATCAGAGGAGCAAGAAAGTTGACGTTTCAGGTCTGGACCCTTCTTCAGAAAAGTCTGAAGGGTTTCACTAAATTAACTGAAGAGAAACTGTTTCAGTAATCAAAGCATACAGATTTAGGAGCAGAAATTGCTGGAAAAGCTCAGCAGGTCTGGCAGCATCTGTGGAAAGAAATCCGAGTTTACCTTTCAGGTCCAGTGACCCTTCCTCACAAATGATGGTAGCTTGGAAAATGTTGGTTTGAATGCAGATGATAGGGTGGGAGGAGGAGTTAAGGAGTAAATGGTAGGTGGAGATTGAGCCCAATGAGAGAGAAGAACAGTTGGACAGACAAAGGAGTGGATAAGGATCTGGCTAGGAGGGTGAATAGCTGTTAATGGGGACTGTTGGTAGTTAACAATGGGTTGTGTGTAATAGCAAACTATGTGATAACAAGGCCTGGTGTGTGGGGATTGGGGTAAGGACATGGGAGAGCACAGGCCCTTAAGCAGTTGAACTTGATATTGAATCCAGAAGGCTGCAGGGTCCCCAAGAGGAAAATGAGGTGCTGTTCTTCCAGCTTGCGCTGAGTTTCGCTGGAGCACCGCAGCAAGCCTGAGACAGAACCTTGGCCAGGGCTAGGACATTACAGATTTAAGAAATTGGCACAAGAGCCAGACGGAAGAAGAGGAGACTATTTTTAACAAAAATGGAAAGTGCTGGAGAAACGTAGCAGGTCTGGCAACATCTGTAGAGAGAGAAACTGAGTTGATGTTTCAAGTCCAGTTCTGATAAAGGGTCAGACCAAATTTGAAACATTAACTCTGTTTCTCTCTCTGCAGATGCTGCCAGATCTGCAGCAATTTCCTTTTTTCTTTTCAGTTTTCCAGTATCTGCAGTTCTTTGCTTTTATATTAGACAAATTTTGAATTTGTTTTTTAAGCTAAAGCAAAGTCATTACGATCTGAGGCAACAAGGTGCAGGGCTGGATGAACACAGCAGGCCAAGCAGCATCATAGGAGCAGAGAGGCTGACGTTTCGGGCCTAGACCCTTCATCAGAAAAGGGGGAGGGGAAGGGTGTTCTGAAATAAATAGGGAGAGAGTGGGAGGCAGATAGAAGATGGATAGAGGAGAGGATAGGTGGAGAGGAAACAAACAGGTCGAAGAGGTGGGGATGGAGCCAGTAAAGGTGAGTGTAGGTGGGGAGTTAGGAAGGGGATAGGTCAGTCCAGCAGCCCAATGGTATCAATGTGGATTTCACAAGTTTCAAAATCTCCCCTCCCCCTACTGCATCCCAAAACCAGTCCAGCTCGTCCCTGCCTCCCTAACCTGTTCTTCCTCCCACCTATCCCCTCCTCCCACCTCAAGCCACACCTCCATCTCCTACCGACCAACCTCGTCCCGCCCCCTTGACCTGTCCGTCCTCCCTGGACTGACCTATCCCCTTCCTAACTCCCCACCTACACTCACCTTTACTGGCTCCATCCCCGCCTCTTCGACCTGTTTGTTTCCTCTCCACCTATCCTCTCCTCTATCCATCTTCTATCTGCCTCCCACTCTCTCCCTATTTATTTCAGAACACCCTTCCCCTCCCCCTTTTCTGATGAAGGGTCTAGGCCCGAAACGTCAGCCTCTCTGCTCCTATGATGCTGCTTGGCCTGCTGTGTTCATCCAGCCCTGCACCTTGTTGTCTCGGATTCTCCAGCATCTGCAGTTCCTACTATCTCTGATTCATTACGATCTGGAATGTGCTGCCTTTAAAGGCAGAGGAAACACGATCAGCAGAAACTTTATTGAAGAATACTCCCAGAAAAATGCATGAAGAGGAAATAAATGTCGAGTTACAGTGGAACAGGGTGAAGTGAGAGCTCTTTCAAAGGGTTGGAACAGGCACTATGGCCCAAATAGCCTTCTCCTGTGCTGTGTGACTGTATAAAGAGTAGGTTCACTGAGGGTGCCTTTGGTAAATCCAGTAGTCAACATGTAAACTAACCATGTGATTCCCTGGTCGGTGTTATCTTAAGTAGTTCAGCCTGGTAAAGGCAGATACATAAACATCGGTGAAGGATTGTTATCTGATTAAATCACTATGGCCCAGGATAGTGAGATGCATCAGGGCCCAATCGCTGGAGGCCAGGTCTCGAAGGGGCCTATAAGGCCTTAATGTGGGAGAGGGTAGTATTGGACCTATGATGGAGGTGAGCGCGAGGGCCACTGTGCTCCTAGGCGTGTAGGGATGGGGGACGCTGTGCTCTCAGGGGTTGGGGGTGGAGGGGGGAGGTTGCTGCTTTCCTAGGGGGTAGAAGTGTGGGGGGAGATGGTTACTGCACTCCTAGGGGTTGGAGGTGGTGGGGGGGGGGTTGCTGCACTTCTGTGGGGTGGGGGTATGGATTGTGGTCCTAGTGTCTGAGTCAGGAGCAGCCCCTTGTCTGATCCTACCCTTCAAGTGACTGTGACTCCGCAACAATCTAATACACTCAGTGAAAGTTATTTATTTTATTGATTTATTTCCAATCTCGCACTCTGCACCTTTCTCAAGATGATTGAACTAATGGCTGTAGTGTTTCTATCCAAACTAAACAGAGCAATTACAACTCAAAGCAGCAGCTAGGATACTGGTGCTGATACAGGCTGAGAATGATGGTCATAGTTTTGTTTATTTAAGTAGTTGTTTAGTTTCAACATGGAGGTTGGGGGTGGTGGAGTGAGATGGGGTGGTGGGGTGGAGGCGATATTGAGGGTGCAGTGAACTCTTGCTGTGCAAGTCTGCTTTCCATTAATGCATTTACAGTCAGAGCCTTAAGTCAGCTGTAGTTGATGGAGCTGGACCAAAGGCTGCGGGTTCAATATCCTCTCTGGACAAAGCTGACCATGGGGGTACTGCAGCACTGCCAGAGGTACTGCATTTTAGGTGCAGCAAACCGAGACCCTGTTCTGCCCACATAGAAAGAGGTCACATTAGGAGGTCACTGAACTAATCCAGGCCCAGGCAGCAGGCCGTGGATGGGGCTGTAATTGTTAACCGCTTGCCCCTCTTCGACAGCCACGGTCTGGCCTGAGTGTCCTTGGAGATGGAGTGTATGGTGTCCACCAATACCTCCAAGGTATATCAAGAGAGAGGTGGGCCCTGCAGGGGCTGGGACAAAAACAGAAGTTGCTGGAAAAGCTCAGAAGGTCTGACAGCATCTGTAAAGAAAAAGTCAGAGTTAACATTCGTGTCCGGTGACCCTTCCTCAGAACTGCAGGGGCTGCAGCTGGTTCCCTTTCCCTTTCTCTTTTTATTGCAGCACTGACCCCTGTGGGCTGTGTCTATAATGTGTAATTGAGTGATTCGGTAATTAGTGGGTGGATTTATTGGTCAAAACAAAAATGCTGGGTTCTTGTCTAGTAAGGAGTTGCTTTCTAGACAGGGAATGGCTCCAGAAGGGAATTGTGAAAACTGGTGTTTTTGCTAAATGACAGATTTACCCTCGGAAATCGCAGGAAGACTTTTGCTGCCTGTCAAGCACAACTTTGCAGTGTTAAGCTAACCCACCTGTCAGAAACTCGAGAGAATAAACACAGAAAAACACTGGAAAAGCTCAGCAATCTGGCTATGTCTGTGGAGAGAGAAAAAGAGTTAACTTTTCAAGTCTGTTATAACGCTTCCTCAGTTCTAAAGAACAGTTATACCAGACTTCAAACATTAACTCTGTTTTTTTTCTCACTCCACAGACGCTAGACCTGCTGAGTTTCTCCAGCATTCTCTGCACTTGTCTCAGATTTCAACATCTGCAGTATTTTGCCTTTCTTCAAGAAAACTGAGGGCACCAGATGTAATATTAATTTTATCGCCCTAGTAGGTTCACTGAGGGTGCCTTTGGTAAATCCAGTAGTCAACATGTAAACTAACCATGTGATTCCCTGGTCGGTGTTATCTTAAGTAGTTCAGCCTGGTAAAGGCAGATACATAAACATCGGTGAAGGATTGTTATCTGATTAAAGCACTATGGCCCAGGATAGTGAGATGCATCAGGGCCCAATCGCTTTTATTCCTCCTTGAAGCTGAGGGAGATTAATCTCAACAGGGATATAAAAAAAAGTAGAGATA